TTGCTTGCTGCTGTCATAGTTTTGGTGAATAACCTGTCCAAATAGGTTAGAGAGCAAAGGTTTTTGTTTTAGGTCATGCCATATCTCCCTGAAGTCGACTGGCAACTGCTTGAGGGCAGTGATGCTGTGTTGTTCTTCCTTGTACCCTCACACCCTAGAATGGGCCCAGCACAGAGTACCCAGCACATGTTCCCAAAGGCGTCATCCCTGACTTTGTAGAGCACATCAGAGGTATGCCTGCGGCTGATAACTTCCGCCCTCATGTTCCTGCTTGGCTAATCTCTTTAAGCACACACCCTGAGTCACTGTCTACTCCTAAACCTCCTGCGGCTTCTCATTTCCCCTTGAACTTTTCTCCTTAGTCTCAGTCCATCAGTCTTTTTACTCCATAATTCCCCAGTAGACAACTCTGCTGTCACCAGACTGGCTCAGAAACAAGCCTCGCTGAAGTCTGATTCTTAATTGTCACTCATGCTGGTCCTCTGTCCCAAGAACAGCCTCACTCTTCTCTCTGGTGGTCCGGAACCAAGGACATCCTTCAGATCCAAGAAACCTGCCAAGTCCCTTATAGTTTCAGCCCTTGAAGATCTCCCCATGACTAAATGGTCCTACCGTCCTAGCATGTCCTTCAGCAGGGCTAGTACTGGCTGTTACGTGTTTCTTTATCACACCAAGTGAATTGTGAGCTGCTTGAGGGCCTCTGGTTCAAAGGGTACCTGGTACATTTCCAGACATGTGGGGCTCATGAATGCATTTTAGAGAACTGACATAAGGCAAACTGACTTCTGTGACCCCCATGTTATCAGACAGTTGCATTCTTCCCATGAACCTTCCCTGCCCCAAATTTTACTGTGTAAGGGATGCTGAGAAGTCTCTCTTTGAAATGACAGCCTAAAGACTTCAATGAGATTTTTAGTGTCTCTTGGTCAACCCCCTGCTGATCCTGAGTCACCACATTGGTGGTGATGCTAAGCCTCACTTTATGATTCACATTCTAAAAATGGGGTGAGGTTTTTACCGAGAAACTAATTCCAGTAGAAACTTAGCCTCACAATTGTTGGGTTCTTCTGTGGGTTTCCAGCTGCTAGCACAGCATTTCTCAAGGCCTGGTGTCTTAGGGCTTATTGGATGTGGCTATTCTATGGCAGGTACCCAGGATCCATTTCACAGATTGTGATGAGGGTTCCCTGTAATATGTTCCATCAGCCTTTCTTGGGACTGCTCATTATCTGTAATCAGCCCATGCCTGGCCTGGGATGGACAAGCTAAAAAAAGGGTAGATAAATCTTTAGGGCTATTATTTCATTCACACTTTCTGGGTCATGGTCTTGGTTCCTCGCCAGAATATACCTCCTCTTTATTTCGATAAAGAGGAGGTTTTAGGGTCTGTATTCTGGGGCCTATAACTGAGCACACGATTCCACTTAGCATCTAGAACTGTTCTCTAACAGTGACTGAAGGGGGAAATACCTAAAACCAGAATGTGTAAATGACAGAAATGGACTGACTTCATGCAGTGTGCATTCTAGTCCCAAGACTTCCATTAACAAGCTGCTACTTGGCGAGTCACTTAACAATGGCAGCAGTGATGGTAATGGCTGAGTTGATAAAGGGTTTGGAATGGGGGTCTGGCACATGGTTAGTCCTCTGTAAGGTCATCTGCTATTGTCATTGTTATGGTTACAAAGCATTCATTACACCCATTACTAGGCACTTGGCATGTATTATCTCATTTAATCCTTAGAATTGTGGAGCAATTTTTATTATTGTTGTTGTACAAAGTTGAACTGAGGCTTAAACGGGTTGAATTATGAGTCTAAGACTGTACAGGCCTCAAGTCCAGACAGTCTAATCCCAGACCCATGATCACAATCTCTTGTTACACTTAGTTTCCTTAGACCTTGGTTTTCTCATCTGTAACACTTGGAAGCTGTTGATCTTTAAAACCTTCCGATTCTAAAATTTCCAGATATTTCTCCCATTACCGTCATCCTTTCCTTCTCTTCCTCCCTTGACCCCTCCCACCTATCCATGAATTTCGCTGGGTTCATCATCACGGGATCAGCAGAATGTCGTCCCCATTGAATGATGACACTGCATGTGTCAGCACATGAACTCGTATTGTGGCTTTCTTTTTTGAAGAGGGCGGTAGGGGGGCTGTTTTACATGCTGCTATCTTTGTGAGAGGAGGAATCTGACTCTTCAGTTTTACTATCTTAACTTGGCCTACAGCCATAGCCACACTGAGTGACACTAACATCTGACAGGGTTTGAGGAAGGCGTCACAGGCAGAATCCTGTGGGAATCAGCTCTGTGTCTGTGGGCTCTGCGCTGCTGTGTGCTAAGATCTGGCTTAGGCACCTGCACTCTCCAGGCTGTTCATACATCTGGTCCATGGTCGGTAAGGATCTTAAGAGAGGGACTTGGAGAAGAGACGTCCTCTGTACAGCTTGGGTATTCTGGCAGACTTCCATATGGGAAGTTCCCAGGACATTTCATTATAGTTACATTGTAGTTGATATTTGTAAAGTACCATAGTTGGGTGATAGTCTGTAGATACACTGTACTATATAGTCTATATTCTATATAGCCTATATAATATATATTGTATTCTATAGTACTTTGTTTGTGGCTGTGAACCAAAGGTGATACATGTTTTGGCAGCAGCAGCAGACCTGTGTTCAAGGTCTGGATCTGTCACTTTCCAGGTGGGCGCATCTAATATACCTGCTTGTTATGGCTTCTATGTGATTCTTCTTTTTTTTTTTTTTTTTTTTGAGTCGGAGTCTTACTCTGTTGCCCAGGCTGGATTTCAGTGGCACACTGCTCATGGCCACCATAGCCTCACCTTGCTGGGCTCAGGCAATTTTTCTACCTCAGCCTCCCAAGTAGCTGGAACTACAGGCATGCGCCACCACACCCAGCTAATTTTTTGATTTATTGTAGAGATGAGGTCTTGCCATGTTGCTCAGGCTGATCTTGAACCCCTGAACTCAGGCAATTCTCTCGCCTCCACCTCCCAAAAGTGCTGGGATTATTGGCGTGAGCCACTGCGCCCAGCCTGTGATTATTTTTTAGGTGGGATCTTATTATGAAAAATATGAGTCAGTTTGTCACTGTCTTGAGAATCGTGGATTATTTTGCTTAGAAGTCTGGAGGAAACATTTTAGGAACCTTAAAGTACCAAATATGAACCTGGAAATACTAAAAGTGATGGATAAGTCACTTAATTTCTCTCAGCTTGGATTTCTTCATCTGTAGAAAATTCTAGCACTGCCTGTCCTACTTAACTAATGTAAGTGACTGTTGAATCAAATGAGGTATGGTATGAGAATGTGTTTCTAAGAATTACAAATTCTATGTAAACATTGGTTGAGGAAGTATCACACAACAAAGCTAATTGTTTTAATCACCAAAAAAGCAAAAGCTTAAGTTAACGTTTCTACTGTGATTTTTCCCAGTGTGAATAATTTACTACAGATAATAACTTGTAGTAAAATTTCCTAAGTTTTTTATTTTTATTGTGCACCAATTGGAAGGCAGTGAATTAAGTTGTTCTGGAAACTATCTGAATATTGTATGTATTCAGTTAATAAAAACTAATATTGTTCAAGGCATATAGTCTAAGCTCTTTTGTTGAAAGTGCATTGGTTTTTGCATTAATTCATATTTTATTAATCTATTATTAGGTTGAGAGTTAGGTTCAAGTTGCAAATATACCATATGCAAAAAGACCCTATGCAAAAAGCACAAACAGGCCAGACACAGTGGCTCATGCCTGTAATCCCAGTATTTTGGGAGGGTGAGGTTGGAGAACTGCTTGAGCCCAGAAGTTCAAGACTATCCTGGGCAACATAGTGAGGGTTCATAAAAAATTTAAAGAAATAGCCACGTGTGATGGCATATACATGTAGTCCCAGCTACTTGCAAGACTGAGGCGGGAGGTAAACTTGAGCCCATAGCTACAGTGAGCTATGCTCATGCCACTGTCCTCCAGCCTGGGTGACAAAACGAGACCCTCTCTCTACAGAAAATAAAATAGCATAAACAAAATTATAAGCCAACTGAGTATCCTTTTGAATACACAGAACATAATTGCAATGTGAGTAAAGGCAAGACCTGTGTATACTAATTCAAATTGGCCTAGGTTGAAAAATATATTTCCATAACTCACATTTTTCACTAAAGCAAATATTCCCTATCCTCTTACTCAAAATAAACAAGATGACACCATTTCTGTTTTTCTTGATTGGTAAATCACGCTTGGAGATACCATCTGGAGATTGTTGGGTTTCTGCCAAAGATTGAAATCAGACCAGCAAAGAGCTACCTGCCCAAGGCAAGAAACTGCACTGATTTCATAGAAAAGCGTGTGCTTTTATTTCACCATCTGGTGAAAAAAAGTGAAAGTACTTAGAAAAGTTTTATTATTTGTTTTGCAACAATAGCACTGGTTATAGATAACAGTATTTCTGAAATATAATTGGGGAAATGAGTGAATCTAATTGCTGAAAATTGTGTAATTATTTACACAAATATGAATTTATTTGATATGAAGACTTATCCAGAGATCTTGATGCTAAAGAAAGATATTTTAGAATAAAAGTTGGAGTCAGGCAAATTTCTCGAGTCCCCTCCCACTGTGGGAGCTTTTCTGTCTTCTCTATAAATCCTACTTTCAAAAAAACAGTTGGGGTCAAATAGGAGTAGAGAGAAGTAAAGCAATGGAAACCACCTCAGGCCTCCTTGTGAGCCATGCTATAAGCCCTAGAAGTGTGTGAATTGGGTATAACATGACGGTTATCCTTTTTGTCTTTTTTTAAACAGATTTCTGCATGACAGATTCACCAATGGCGAGAAGGGCTAGTCTGTCTACGTTCTGAGTATTGCCCTTGGCAAGACCCCTGAAACAGGCCCAAGGTCCAAGTCCATTGTGCCACCATACCCTCACCTCACCCCAGACAGTATTCTGGGGTCCACTCGAGGTCAGTAGTGGTCAGAGGTCAGAAGATGACCAGCACCTTCCTAGCATGACGACTGTGGATCATGTGATAGCTACCCACCAGTCAGAGTGGGTTTCCTTCAATGAAGACCCTCTGTTTCCGGCTTCCTCCGAGGGTAAGGAGTGCTTTTATTTCCTAATGTGAAGAGGTTGGCAAAAACTATGCCTGTTTGCTATGGCTTCTACTTGATGACTCTTTGGGTGGGATATTAATATGCAAAAAAGAGCCAGTTTGTCAATGTCCTGAGATGTGTGAATTCTTCCACTTAAGAAGCATGACGACATGCCTTAGGGAACTCAGGGTCCTAAAAAGAGGCCTGGAAACCCCAAAAGGATTTGCTTTTTCTTCCAAGAAACAGAAACTTAATACTTACAAAGTGCTTTACTCTCAGGCTTTTTATTTTTTTAAAAATTTGTTTATTTACTTTATTTTATTATAAAGATGTGGGGTACAAGTCAGGATTAGGTACATAAGTAACGTGTGCAGGTGAAGTTTGGGCCTTCAACTGGTCCTCACTTCCCCTGGTTTAGGATCAGGCACACTTTGTGTTGTTACATGCCCCCCCTTCCTCCCTCCCAGGCAGTGTCCCTTGACTGCCAATTCCTCCCTTGTACTTTTGTGATTAATGTTCAGGTTATGAGTGAGCACATGTGATAATCAGTTATTTGCTGCATTATTCACAATAGCAAAAACCTGGAACCAACCCTTATGCCCATCAAAAGTAAACTGGATAAAGAAAGTGTGCACTAGGCTTGGTGACTCAGCCTGTAATCCCAGCCCTTTGGGAGGCCGAGGTGAGTAGATTGCCTGAGCCCATTGGTTCGAGACCAGCCAAGGCAACTTGGTGAAACCTCATTTCTACCATAAATAAAAAATTAGCCAGACGTGGTAGCATGCACCTATACTTCCAGCGACTTGGAAGGCTGAGGTGAAAGGATCACCGGAGTCCAACAGGTCGATGCTGGGATGGCCGTGAACATGCCACTGTACTCCAGCTTGGGCAACAAAGTGAGGCTCCAACTCTTAAAAAAAAAGGAAAGAAAATGCGGTATTTATATATATGTGATGGAATATTACGCAGCCATAAAGAAGGGCAAAATCATGGACTTCTCAGCAAATTGGATGGAATTGGAGACAATTTATTTTTTTAATTTTTAATTTTTAGAACAACTCAGCAAAATAAAATTCCGGTTTATTGTTGAACAACATTGTTTCACACATACTTCAAACAGGTCAAAAAAAAGAAACACCAACTTCATAGATAAAAAAGGAAAAAAAAGAAACCTTTTATCTTTGACCTTTTTAACCATCTCATACAAACCAACTACTTATAGTACAGCTAAGTACATACACAAAAAAAGTTACTGGAATGCTCGGAATAAGATTGTTTTTTGTTGTTGTTTTTGCTTTTTTTACAAGGTTTTTTTTCTCCTTTGAGATTATAATGAACATGGTCACACCACAAGTAAAGTCAGAAGTAGGACAGAGAACGCTCCGGAGGCTGGTTTGGTCATCCGAGATCATTAAAAATGGCTGACCCCTAACAATATGTACAAAAATATAAGATGTAAATAAAAAATACAAACAAATTTCCTTTTTAAAGTACTTTTAAGAAAAAAAGCAGGGCCTTGGAAATTTTGGTTCTTTTTTCCTCCCCTGTTGCAAATTCTCATGGTTTTGGTGGGGTGGTGGAGAGCGCGTGTCATCTGCGGGTGGCGCTGCCCGCGGTGGGCGAGCGGGCGGCCTCTCGACTCGAAGGTGACCACGTTTAGATTCTGAGACGGGAAGTGGAGGGTGAATAGGTCACGGCGGCCTTGTTTTTTAGTTTAACTTTTCCTTTTCTTGTTGTCTAGTCATCGTCATCGGTCTTCTGCTTCTTAGTATCAACATCGTCATCCTCATTCTCTTCAGCTGCCCGTCTGCCCGTAGCGGCCTCAGCTTCCTCATCTTCATCTCCATCCTCCTCCTCCTCACCATCACCTTCTTCCTCCACCTCCTCCTCCTCCTCTCCACCTTCTTCCTCTTCTTCATCTACCTCACTGTCAGCCTCCTGCTCCCCGTTTTCCTCATTACATTCCCATCAGCAGGGGCTTCTCTTCCATTTTCCGCCTCCTCCACAACTTCCTCCTTGAAGTCCTTGGTGGTGATCTCAGAGCGGGTGTCCACGGCTGTGTCTGACATGGTGGGGCACGCCGGTGTTCCGATGCAGGGGACTCAGTGGGACACGAGAGTGCGAGCACTCTGGCGTTAAAGCTGCGGGAGTCCGCAGCGGCGGAGGCGGCAGCGGCAGCGGCGAGCAGAGAGCCGGACGGAGAACAAGGCAAAGATGGCTTTTCAGAGCAGCCAGTGGGGGCGGAGACGATTATTCTTAGCGATTTATCACTCTCAGCCTTTTTAAAGTGTTATTAAAAGTGATAGGCTCTTAGCCGGGCTCGGTGGCTCAGCCTGTAATCCCGCGCTTTGGGAGGCTGAGGTGAGTGGATTGCCTGAGCCCGCGGGTTCGAGACCCGCCTGGGCAACTTGGCAAGACATCATCTCTACCATAAATCAAAAATTAGTCGGGCGTGGTAGCGCGCGCCTGTAGTTCTGGTTACTTGGAAGGCTGAGGCGGAAAGATTGCTGGAGCCCAGCAGGTCAAAGCTGCGGTGGCCAGGAGCGGCCACTGCACTCCAGTCTGGGTGACAGAGTGAGACTCTAACGAAAAAAAAAAAAAAAAAAA